TACTTCCTCGATCGCAAACATCTCCTTTGCAGCATGTTGCTCCCCGTAGACTGTTCTTATCCCTTCCTCTGTCGGGAACTTCACCATCTGGTGAAGAGTTGAAGGCACTGCCCTCATGTTGTGTATCCATGGTCTCCCGAGGAGTGCGTTATACCTCATATCACCTTCGATGACATGGAACTTTGTATCTTGTTTGGTCCCGACTACGTTTACTAGCAAGATGATCTCTCCCTTTGTTGTTTCGCTTGCTATGTTGAAGCCATTCAGGACCCCGGATACAGGTACGATATGATTTTGTTGGCCGAGTTATTCCACGATCCTCACTCTGATTATATTTGCTGAGCTACCTGGATCCACTAAAACACGTTTAACTTGAATTTTATTCAAAAGGATAGAGATTATCAGGGCGTCGCTATGAGGCTGGGATATGCCTTCTACTTCTTCGTCACAGAATGATAAGACGTCCTCGGGCACATAACTCCGGGTCCGTTTTTCCCTGGTGATCGACATTTTGGTACGCTTGATTATGGGTCGTTGAGGGACGTCGACTCCGCCAATGATCATGTGGATCACATGTTGTGGTTCTTCCTGTTTGTTTCTCCTTGCATCTCTCTCCATGAGATGATTCTTAGCCCGATCACTTAGGAATTCTCGAAGGTGACCCTCGTTAAACAGGCGAGCCACTTCTTCCCTTAGCTGTCTGCAATCTTCTGTCCGATGACCATGTGTAGCATGATATCTGCACATCAAGTTCGGATTTCTTTGAGAAGGATCGGTCTGTATTGGCCTGGGCCACTTGGTGTCCTTAATTCTCCCAATAGCGGAGACAATCCCTAATGCATCGATGCTGAAGTTGTATTATGATAATCGAGGAGCTTCTGCGGGGTCGGAGTACTTGTCAAATCCACTTTTGCTCATGAGTCCCCGAGAACTTTGACCTCGATCGTTTCTTCGATCACTCCGAAGAGTGTTGCGACTCGGGCTGCTGTCCCTTCGATCGGCATATGGCTGATACCGCTCTTTGTTGAATCTCGATTCTCGTTCTTTATCCTTAGGGGGTTTGGCTGCGAATCTGATAGGATACACTGAACCCGAAGGGGCTCCCAACTCGTCGTCCTCGACCCTGATCTTTGAATGATAACTATTATGCACATCCGACCAAGTCACAGCTGGATATTCAATCAAGTTCTGCTTTAACTGCCGAGAAGCGATCGAACTTCTTTCATTCAGGCCTTGCATAAAGGCCCGCACTGCCCAGTCATTGGAGACCGGTGGTAATTCCATTCTTTCCATCTGAAATTGGGACATGAACTCCCTTAGCATCTCATCGTTCCTTTGCTTAATTTTGAAGATGTCCGACTTTCTCGTGGCCACCTTTATGGCCCCGGCGTGCGCTTTCACGAAGGCATCCGCTAACATAGCAAACGAATCAATAGAGTCAGGAGCTAAGTTGTGATACCAAATCATGGCTCCCTTTGATAGTGTTTCTCCAAACTTTTTCAACAGCACTGACTCGATTTCATCATCATTCAAATCATTCCCTTTGATTCCGCAAGTGTACGAAGTGATATGCTCGTTGGGGTCCGTTGTTCCATTGTATTTGGGTATGTCGGGCATGCAAAACTTTTTGGGAATGGGCATCGGACCTGCGCTTTGAGGGAATGGTTTCCGTATGAATTTCTTGGCGTCTAAACCTTTCAAAATTGGAGGTGCCCCTGGTATCTGATCTACACGGGAGTTATTGGTCTCCATTTTTTTATCATTGTCTTCAATTTTCTTTTCCCCGGACTCAATCCTCTTAGTGAGCTCTTCGAGCATTTTCAGAATCGTGGGGTCAGTCCCCGAGTCGTTTTCATTAGATCTCTCTGGCGTTGGCTCAGCATGTTGATTGTTTTCATGTTCAGCTACGCAGGTTTAATTTTGACTTTGCAGTTGAGCGATTGCGACTTGCTGAGCCTGCAACTTCTCGAATATCACTTGGAGACTGACTCCCCCATCTCCTACTCTTGGAGTTCCTTGGTCCCCTGGTCGGGCTTCCCTGCGTGCGTTCCCCCTCTGGTCTTTGCCTGCATCTGTGTGTAGAACATTGTGTGAAATAATATCAACTGGATCCATATTTGGCACTCCCTCCGAGTTTATGGGTGGTACACCGACCCCTATACCGTTGTTTTCTCCAAGACCCTCACTGTCATGAACAGGTGCGTTTTGTGTGCTAGACATGTTCAAGCTGAAAATCAAAAAATCTTGACAAGAAAAAGTGTAAAGACAACGTGTGTAACGAGAATCAGTAAAGAAATAACCACTATTATCTTTAGCCCCACGGTGGGCGCCAAACTGTTAACCTCGAAAATACGAGTAACAATTAAACTTGGTTTGTGGTTTTAAAGATACGTGATTTAGTTCAATACCAATTAATAATCAAGAAATATGAAGTAGAGATGAAAGATAGAAGTGAATCAAACCAATATTAGTCAACATTAATGACCTCGAGAAGGTGACCTCGAGGTGGCTTAGGGCAGTAAGAACAATTAAGTAAGAGAATCAAAATAAGAACAATTTAAGCTAAGGAACAACTCTAATGAACAGCAGGCAAAAGTAGAGAGTATATTCTTTGCTCAGTAAAAGATGGTCTTATAACAAATGATTGGGGTCCCCCTTATATAGTGGGGGAACCCTAAATAAGGAATATTTTCATTTACAGTAGGGAATATTCTTGGTACAGCTGTCTAACCGTCTAGTACGGAATTGTACGATCCTATTCTGTGATTTGCGCCATGACTTTGGGGACGTGGCAGAAATCTAGCTCGTTCTAGTACAAATCCATAACGGTGCTATTTCGGGGTCGAGCACACCCGACGTCGGCGTTCCTCGACTCCTGCTTCCGGGCACTACATTCTATCTTCGAGCTTGAGTCTGGTTCACCGGTTTCGATAGTGACCTTCTTCGGACTCGAGTCTAGGTCGGAACCTCGAGCTTCTACATCAGGGGTATATGATTTTGACCATATACAGTAGTAAAATATGCACTTCATTTATTATTTCTTAAGGGGCATGCCAAGTCCATTGTGAACAAGTAAAAGTAAACGGACGAAGTATGTGTGTATAATTTAGAGAAAACTTACTGGTGATTGAATCACCTCTTACGTCTTAAACTCTCAACCTGGTGCCAATTAAATTTTTAAGAGATTTAAGTTATGAACACTAACAAAGTAAAGTTTTCCTTACATTGTGAGTGAATTTTAATATGTGATATCAAGTTGATTACTATTTTTATTTTAGATTATTAATTAAGACTTATCAAGAAAATAACTTTTTATTATCTAATATTTATAAATATTACCTTTAAAGCGTAGAATTTAAACTCAATTTCAAGAAGTCGGGAGACGATAACAATTCACAAGAAATGTAGAGTAGAATTATCATCCAATCCAGCCTTCAGGTTATTGGCGATTTGCACAAATTAAATTTTTATCCGGTTAAGAAACGTTTCCGAAAAATAGCTTCACGTTAGAATTTTAAAGTAATATTGTTAGAATTTTGAAGAACGCTGTTAGAATTTGAAGTATGCTGCCAGAATTTTGAAGCAAAAATTGTACTTTAAAATTCTGATATAGGGCTATTTATCAAAACATTTTTTAATAATATTAAAATATAAACGATAGTTCTAAAAACTTTTCTTGTCAGGTTAATAGTTCTAAACGACATTGTGAATAGGAGGGCCTTAGAATCACAGGTTTCTATTGGGTTTCTCAATAGAAATGAATCGGCTTATTGCTTCCCTAGTGAGATTTTAACTTATATATACTAATTTTGAAACTTATTTATTCTTACTATTGAAATTTTAATTTAATTACAAGTTCATATACAAATTATCAATTTTATAGAAAAGAATGTATTAGACTCTAATCTTCCATACTTTCTCTCCCTCTTACACTCCAAAACTAAAATTATAAATTAACAGAAGAATGTTTGACCTCTTTCTCCTCAACTTCAGCCATACCTTTACGAGAACAAAGAGATTTGGCATCAAGCAATTCTATTATTTTTTTCTATTTTTTTATTTTCTATTTTTTTCCTGTGTTAAACAATGAATATCACTTTTGAACGAGGGAAGATCGTTAAATTCTTTTAGCTTTTTGGAATCAATAAACAAAATAGTATTAATCAGAAGCGAGTAGATTGAATAGGAAACTATGTTAATCCATTAGTAAGCTTAGAAACTTTGAATTCGAAAATCGAAATTTGCAAAATTATTTTTGTTTGGATTGGGTGTTGTTGCAAATGATTGGGAATATCCTTTGGAGTTTATATCTCAATTTTGAGAGAATTTGGTGAAGATTCGAGGTGGTTTTGGTTGAAATTTCATATTGAAACTCGAAAAAGAAGACATAAACAAATTGTATATATTTTGTATGTCGAGTGTAGAAACGATACAAAATATCTACGACTTACATAATTATATATAAGTTGTATATAAATTTTATGTAAGTTGCAGTTTTTGTATATTTAAGTTGTAGAAAACTTATAGATTTTAACCGAATTTGTATATATTTTGTTAGAAACTTTAGTTACTTTCTGTAAATATAAAAACTTAGACAAAATTGGGTAAATAAGTTTAAAATCTCGTATATATACGAAAAAGTCCCTTCCCTGATTAACCCAATTAGTTGCCCATCTAATCGCTTAAACTAAAACTAGTCGACATATGTATGATTCATGTATCGTATGTGTATAATTGTGTATAATCACTATATAATCTATATATACCGGCTAAAAGATATAAACAGTGAATCTGGCTGGCTATTGTGGTAAAATCCCGTGTTATATTGTCTAAACATTAATATGTTCTTTTGCTTTCTTTACTTTCACTATGAACTAAATTATAGTAGTTAAAAGAATTTTTTTAAATTTCTTAAATATTAATTGTGTCGTTTAATTTTAGTAGAATAGAGTAATTTAATTATTTAAATAAAGAAGAAAGAGAGAACAGAGCGGAGGAGGTCATGACAAATGAAGTAGGCACCATTTTTCATTTACACTAGTAGCCATAAATACATACTACACATCAACAAGATTAGATTAGTTTGTAAAAATCAAAGTACATAGTATATTAAAACAAAATCTTAATGTGTCAAAACTAATCCTTCAAATGTTGGAGTAGCTGCAAAATCTTCCTTTGCTGGCCATAAAACTCAAGATAGGTATTTGCATGTACCATAACCTAAAAATCACAAACAAACAAAAGATCAACGATTAGTCAGTCTTCAATAAAAAAGAAAAATTGTTCCAACTATGTTACAAGGAAAAAAAATGTTGGATTTAACTCATGTACATTAATAATGAAACTAAGTTTTAACGTATTAATATATTTTAACATGTTATAGCTGGTTGTCTACCTTACTTTTCAAATTACTAAACTCATTTACTATGGAAGCTAAATATAAGAACTATTTTAATTTATTAGCTTAAAAAACCTTTAGCTGACCTAATAGCGTAAAAAATCTGTTTCGCTGTCAATTGAAAGAACTGTTACGTTATCAATGTTATAACATATTATAGAATGTTATAACCTTATTATGGATAGTTACATGTAAAAATTATTTTGATGGCGACCTAATAGTATAAAATTAGTGAAGAGTTTTTACGTCATGAATGTATCTTAACATGTCACGTTACTTGCCTTACTATGGTATGATAATGTAAAAATTCTTTTCCACTATCGTTGTATCTAAGTTAAAAATGTTTAGAACGAAGTTTTGGATTCTTACTTGGATCAGCAAAGACGATGACAGCAGAACCTGAGAAGTCACAGTTGAAGTCGTTGCGGCCCTTAGTTTGGTAGTAAGAATTCATGACAAAGGCAGCATGAGACCTAACAGTGTTGGGGTTAAAGCAAAGACCTCCAGCTTGAACAGGGCGGCAATCCACACCTTGATTAGTACATATCCAGTCTATATTGGCTTGTAATTGTGCATCAGTAGCCTCTGGTTTTGGCATGCAGAATTTGTTGCCTAGAACTGGTTTTGGAATTGGCTGTGCAGGGAGTTTCGGCGCTGGCTTTCCTGGTCTTGGAACATGAGGCTTTCCGGGATGTCTTGCTCCCCTTGGCTGTGGCAATGCTGGTTGTGGCTGTGGCAATGCTGGTTGTGGAAGAGGCTGTATTCATCAAAGTTACAAAACTTATTAACAAATTGGAGTTTAAGTACTATGTATTATACTGATAGTGTAAAAAATATCTAACCAGTTATAATTTATAGGTCACGGGTTCGAGCCGCGGAAGAATCACTAATGCTTGCATTAAGGTAGGCTATCTATATCACACCCTTTAGGGTGCCGCCCTTCCCAAGCCATGCTTGAAAGCTGAATGCTTTGTGCATTGGATTGTCTTTTACTCACTCCGGCCCATTTTAAGTGTCTTTTTAGCATTTCACATGTAGTCTAATATAAGTGTCATTTTAACAAACCAAGAAAGCATTAATTTCTTTTCCCCTTCAAATTTACCCTTGCTTTAATAAATGACCAATGCAACTTTCTTAATAATCTTTCCATATTTAAAAAGTGATAAAGGATAATTTAGTCAAATATTTATACAATTAATGTTATTAACTAAATTCCTTAACTGAGTGTGTCAAAACCATAAAAGACACTTAAAAAGGAGCAGAGAGAAATGTATTTTAAGACGTGATTGTAGGTTAGTTATTAATTGGTTGTTAATATTTTAGTTATTAATTGGTTACCAGGTTATCAATTAATGTTATCCAAAATTTACCAGTAATAAACTTATTTTTTCACAATATGTCAAGTTACCTTTGGTGGCAGAGGCAATGGCAGTGGCTCTCCTTTCATGATTCCAATATTATAAACTGGTGTAAAATCAGGCCTAAACAACCCAAAATTCCTCTCAGCAGCAGAACCTGGTTTAGTATTCTCATTAAACAAACCAAAAATATATGTCTCAATTTTCCTATGTGGCATCAATGGTGTCCCTGCCCCAGAAACATATTTCCTAAGTAATCCACCATTATAAGAAGCTGCATTTTCCACAGTACATTGTGGCTCAAAACTTTCACCTAAAGAAGGCCAACCTGTTTCAGCTGCAATAATTTCCACATCTCCATAACCAAGTCTCTTCATTGACATAAACACAGAATCCAACAACATATCAAACATGTTTGTGTACATTTTCTTACTAAACCTATCAAAAACTCCCTTGTTTTGTTTAAACAAAAGGAAATCAACTTGTTGTGGATTGTAAGCAAAATATGGATATGGATTCACCATAAAAGGTCCTTTCGTTTCGCGTAAAAATTGTAACATTGGTGCTAAAATACCAACATCCCATCCTGGTCTAAATCTAGCCATACTTGGTGGATTTGATGATAATAAAATTCCTAAAGAATGTGGTGTTGATACTTTGATTGTATTAATTCCAGATTGAGTTAGTGCTTGATAAAAGGTTCTCATTGCAGGGACTAATTTATTTTGTACTTCTGGTGTTTCCCAATGGAGAATCTCATTTCCTATAGCAATGACATCAATTTTGGTTTGTGGATAAAATGGCTTAATATTTGCTTCCACATAACTCTTAGCATAGCCTATGTCCAACAATTTGGGAATTTCACCATTTGGGACAGTGACAGTAACTGAGATTCCTGTGTTGGCAAAAGCTCTTAAGATATCTGGATTAACATCGAAAATCTTGATTTTGTCAATTATGGTTTTATCTTTGAGAAATTGAGCAACTTGAGATGGTGGAGGTAGGTTGTTGCCAAGGGTGCCATAGTTAACACCTATGGAGGAAACATAAGGAAAACATTGAATAAAGATAGCTGAAATGAACAAGAAGGAAAGGAATGGAGATGTTTTTTTATTAGACATCTCCATTGTTTTTGTACGAGGTTGTTATTGGCAGAGGAAGAATGCAATAGGACATTTATAGAAGGGAAAAGAAAAATAGAGGGACATTTATTTGTATGGTTTTGCGTTAAATACGACGTTGGACCAATGGATGGAAGAGATTGAAGTTCAGAGTTTTGAGGAATAGACAAACTTGTCTGGTAACAAAGGTCAAAGGGCAGCTTAAGATGCGCAAAACTATTGAAAAATGTCCAAAAAATAGCAATGGAGGATATCGTCTTGTTTCTAGTAGCAACTAATATAACATTTTATTTTTCTTGGAGTGGGAATTAGCGATGAATAAATGGAGTGGTGAAGAATGAAATGTGAACTACTTTGGTAAAAATAATCGGATCAATTTTTAAAAAGAACAAAACCGAATCAAATCATCAAAATCTTAAAAGTGTTAAACAATCGAATGGCAGCATCAAACCAAATTTGTTTACAATGATTTATTTCTTCGATTTTATCCAACTTAAGCACATGTTACTACGTCACTAAACAATAGGAGTCATGATGAAAAAAGCTTTGCTATTGTTTAAGTAGATTCACGGAAATGCATTTTGCCTATATGCGTCCAACCAACAGAATATCCAAATCTATAGTCATTTAACAGTTGGGTTTCAAAAATAACTGCAAAAAGGCAATATACATCTACTTAATTGTGCTAGAAATCAATCAGAAAATACAAATTTATGCACCCCTTTTGAGAATTGAATATCAAGAAACAGAATCAAGCATTAATTTTTACTGAATGAGAGTTTCTGTCATTCATTGCTGATAAAAAGAACTGGCAATAAATATGATACAGATACAAAATGGACTTGCATGATAATAGTACTTCCCTTGCTAGTAGAATGCTCAATTCATGTCTCTTTGGAGGGGTCAGGATGAGACTATGATGAGAGAATAGTTTCATCTACCTTTCAGCACACGCTGGATGTCAAAAAAAGAAAAGAAAAATATCGTTAAAAACTGGACATATAGTATAAAGGACCTGTCATTGCTTGCAATATGATAAAACTCAGATCATTTCATATTACAAGTGTGAATGATCCCATAAGGGAGACAACATAGTTAAGTGGTATTAGTTATGTGACGAAAAGTACGGAGACAAATATATACATGCACATGCTTATAAGAGAAAGGAAGAAGAGAAAGTCTTAAGAACTTTACTTTGTCCCTCTGATTCACTGGTTGGCGCTGTCTGCTCGGAATGCTGCCTGATTCTGGTATTGCTTCTGAAGTATTTAGCTTATGAAATGTCTCCAAAGCTTTGGTAACAAATGGGCGTACTATATTTGCTTCCATTGCTGAGAGATTTTTAAGCTGTGAAGTTTCAGGTTAATTTATAAGGGTCTACATTTCTTCCTCAAATAGCAAAAAGCAATTCCACTATAGAAAATCCCCTAAACCCACCCCCACCCACCCACCAAAAGAAAAATAGAAATTACTATATGTCTTTCCCTCTCCACTCTCCCCAACCGTTGTCTCAAATGAAAAGGTTCCACTCCATTATCTTATGGAAAGCTATTGTAAATGATACATGCGTTTCTTCACCTTAAGAGAGGAAGTTTTGGAAAGAACAACTTTAAAATCAATAGTCAGGCATCTATTCCTTTGGCCATTTTCAATCGGGCACAAAGTTATGAGCATTTTCTGAGTGGAAATATATGTTCCTTTCCTCTAATGCAACATAGCCCTAGATAAGCAGGGCAAAACAATTGCATAATAGTTCTTTCATTGTACAATGTACTACATCTATTTGATCAAACAGAGTTGACTTTCTCAATTAGTACACCTTGTCATTCACTGAGTTTGGAGCATCAGCTGAATTTGTAGTATTGAATAAATCCTATAGAATGGATGGCAATTGGGCTTCCATATTTAAGGAGACTAGATCTTATGTAGCTAATAAATCAGTATAACACCGTTTCTTCTTTAACACACCCCCACAGACCCCTCTTATCATATGTTACTTCAGGTTTCATTTTTATAACATGACTAACATATTGATCATCAAAATGACACATGCATCAGAATGAAAATAGCATTTTCAGAAGAGATGAATAACAATACCCTCAACGCATATGTGACCTCCTTAGAAATAATCTCCAAACCAGTTCCAATTTTGTGAAATCGCACATCCTTAATATCTTCAATAAGAGACCTCACCTATTCCACATGTTTGATTCAGAGTTCTGGGTGAATTACTAAACATTTCAGCCAACAGAATTGAGTAAATAACCGAGCTTACCATATAGATGTCAGGAATATCTTCGCGTGCACTAAATCATTGAATATTATCATCAGTAGACCAACATGATAAACCATGATATAAAAATAAGAAACTACTTACTGATCAAAAAGAAGCCTCGAGATTTCAACGTAATGAAATGGTAAGGATTGGAACTTTTCAGAGTCTCTTTCAGCTTCCAAAACTTGGGTTAACTTTTCTAGTCGACAAAGCAGAGATTAGTAAGAACAAAGAACCCAACAAGTACAATCTGCATGCATAAATGATAGAGCACTGAATATGAAAATTCTATTGGAATTGAGATGATTCACAGAGGAAAACCTTATCGTTTCTGGACAAAACTTGATGAGTGAGGGGGCGACAGCAGTCATTATCATGTTATCAAAAAATAATTAATTAACCATCTGGTTATCCGATACATAATAGAGTGGGTTTATCTTGGTTGAAGTAACTTGTGTGCTATATCTAACAAACAAGAAATGAGAGAAGGCACAGAAGTCTTGGTTATAGGAGCCAGATAGCTTTACTAGAAAGTTGCCCAGAACACTTGACATATCTTATGTCAAAATTTCATGGATGCAATACTTTTTTTCTGGGAATTGGTGATACAACACATGCTACTGTAAACCTAGTGAAATTTCCACTAACTAGGAGAGGCTATGGACAAGTTACTTGTGACACCTTAGGCAAATCCCACATCGACAAAACACGGGAGAGATGCTGGGTATATAAATAAACATGCCTTAGATCCTAGTGACGCGTTTTAAACCCGTGACGGCCTAGTCCCAAAGTGGACAATATCACTAGCGGGTTGGCCTGTTACATATGGTATCAGAGTCACTCCGCGTGCAACCTTGAACAGTGGTGGGGCAAACCTCAGCAAGGACGCTGAGTCTCTAAGGGGGGTTTATGTGACACCCTACGCAAGTCCCACATCGACAAAACACGGGAGAGATGCTGGTTATATAAGTAGACATGCCTTAGACCCTAGTGACACGTTTTAAACCCGTGAGGGCCTAGGCCTAAAGCAGACAATATCACTAGCGGGCTGGGCTGTTACATTACTAGCTGGAATGTGGTTTGGATAAACATTAGCCCTCAGTTTTTCTCAAGGGATGTTCTTGAGATTTATCAGGTAATTCAAGCACCAAGAAAGTTGTTAGCGGAATGGGATTTCAGTTCATCAGTTAGAGGTGCGATTGAGAATGATTTAACGTTCTTTTTTCAGCTTATTAGTTGGGTGAAAGCTTCATCTTCGGCAGCACTATAAAGCTTCCCCGACAGTAAAAGCATTTTGCTCCACGCAGGTGTTCTCTAAGCATTCTATTTCCTAATAACAGTGAATACTCAATTTGGCCCAGAAACATTGCAATTGTTACTTTATTCTAATGTGTACAGTTCAGTAATTTTGGCCTCTAACTGCTATTATATCAACTTGCTCTCTAAGAAAAACAAGAAGTTATAGACCTAGACCATGGCAATCTATGTACTAGTATATTACCAATACTGCAATCTCTTTTACAAACTAAAAAGATAAAGTTAGTCAAAACTACAAGGTACGTATTAGAATTGTGTTGGTGTTAATCGATTTCTCGAAGTTTCTGACAAAGAAAATTGAGAGACAAAGTGTTTTAGTTTTTGGTCTCTTGTCCGATATTTCTCAACAGCTTTTGTATATACATGTTTGGACCGGGTTTGCTCTTTGATCTGTGGAGAAGATTTGGGCCTTATTTTATGATGGGCTGCCTTTTTTTACTTGGGTTAAATTAATTGTTGCAGCCCAAAGCCATGTGTTCTAGAAGATCAGAGAACAAGATATATACACCCTGTAAATAGTTTTTTTATTACTTGTATTTATCTGACAGATTAGTTATAGAGTAGGAATTTTTCAGTTACAACTTAGCCATTAGGTGCATGCCATTTGGCATTTCTGTTTTAGCCTAGATTCTTTTTCTTCTTGTATTTATACCTTAGCCTTGTACAGCAGAAAATACACAGAGAAAGAAAAGTTTTCATACGTTGCTCTTCATTATTTTCTACATGTATCAGAGCAGGTCTAATCTGCTCATATTTCAGTACATTTTCTTTCATCATTCTCCTTTCTTAAACAAAATCAATGGGTACTCCTGAAACCCCCATTTCAACTGCTTCTACTACTGCTGTTCCTGCTACAGCAACTCCTGCTGCAGCAGGGATTGTAGACTCAGCTCACCCCTACTACCTTCACCCTTCTTCTTGTTTTTTACTGCAGGGCCCTTCACTGAAGAGCCCTATGAAGATTGGTAGGGAAGAGGGAGGACTTTACATTCTCAAATCAAGTCATTCAGCTGGTGTTTCTAAGAGTTTATCTAAGTCAACTAGTGTTTCTGTTTCCAAAAGGAATTCACATTCCAGTCCTAGTTTTAATTCTTGTTTTGTGTTTTCTGATCCAAATGTAAAAGAAAAGCTATAGCACTATAGATTAGGCCATATGCCATTAAGTAATATGAAGAACATATCATCAGACTACATTCCTAAGTGTTATGTTTTTTCTAGTCCTTGTACTATTTGTCCTATGGCAAGACAGACAAAGTTACCTTTCTCTTTAAGCATCATTTCTACCAAGAAAGTATTTGACATGATACATGTGGATACCTGGGGACCTTATAGCAGCCCTACTCATGATGGTTTTAGTTATTTTCTTACCATAGTTGATGATTTTAGTAGAGGCACTTGGACCTACTTGTTAAGTACAAAGTCTAATGCTTTCACCACTTTGAAATCCTTCTTAACAATGGTAGAAAGACAGTTCCATACTAAAGTAAAAGTTATAAGGTCTGATAATGCCTTTGAGTTAGGAAATGGTAAATTACAATCAGAATTTTTTCTATCCCAGGGTATTATTCACCAAACCAGTTGTGTCCACACTCCACAACAAAATGGAGTGGTGGAAAGAAAGCATAAACACCTACTTGAGATTTCTAGGGCCCTATTATTTCAATCACATTTGCCTAAGGGCTATTGGGGGACTGTCTACTTACTACCACTTTCTTAATCAATAGATTTCCTTCAAGGATTTTGCATTCTA